GAAGGGGGGATGATCCCAATAGAGGAGGGGCTGCAGGGTGTGCAGGCAAGGATTGGATTGGTCCAAGCTGGGGGTTTATAATGATTGGTGGGGCACCACAGCTCATAGCTCCATGCTCAGCTTCACGCCCACCCCAGAGGACCATGGCAAGAAATTCATCTGCACTGTCACTTACAACACAAGGGGACTTTCCACCAGCAGAACCATCCAGCCTCAAGTCGGCTGTGATTGACCCCACAGCCCCCTCTCACCAGCCTTCCTGCCCCCCTTCTGCAGGGATCCCCATCCCCACATATGATGAAGTGAGACTTTTCTGAAATATTTTTCTGAAACCTATGTATGCCTCAGTTTCCCTTATATTTTGCATGGCTATGTGAGTAGGGGAGAGAAAAGACTAAGTCTGCTTTCAGGGCAGGCTAAAAGATTCATCGTTAAAAAGGCCTGATGCCAACTTCATAGCAACAGAAAAATCAGAGATGATTGAAAACCCAATCCCCAGGACACTGACAGCTAGCAACCAATAAGCCAAAGGCAGGTGGATTTCCCTGCCTCTCAGCAGGAGAGCTGAGTGCAGACCCCAGCTCAAGAACAAAGGCCGGTGAGGATGGGTGGTAAAGGGTTGGCAGCTGGAAGGAGTCTGGACTGAGGCTCTCACCTGGAAGCTGACTAAGGAGGTCAGAGCATGTGGAGACATGGGGCCTGGCTGCAGCTAGGCTGGGCCATAGGCTTAATGGATAATACTTTAACATTCCTTTCTCTGTGCTGCCCCAAGGGCTGTCAGATACTGTAGCCAGGTGACTAATAAATGGTTCCCTATTTTGCAAAGGCTGCTAGTGTCACTGTAAATACTCCCTGGGAGCCCTGCACCCTGAAGGATCCAGGACAAGCCTCCAGGAGGGGTCTGGCTGGGCTGGATTCAGTGCAGGGAGCCCCAAAGGAAGATAGGGGTCACTGATGTCAAAGGCCCCAACAGAACTGTGTGACTCCTTCATGCCTGGTCCTCTGAATGTGTCATTCCCAGGAGCCTAGTGACAGCCTGGGCATAGACCAGCCCTTGGGACTTCATGACACCATCCCTCTGGGCTTCCCCTTCCCCCCCAGCCTTCCCATCCCCTAGCTCACCCCACTCGTTCCCTCCCATCTCAGGTCCTTAAAAGAAGGAACTTGGGGGAGGAGAAGTCTAGCTAGCTGAGAGACTGAGGGCTGGAAGGGGTGAGCTTCACCATTCTGGCCACCACCCCAATCATCTCCTGGGATTCACAGTGACAACACTGGGCCTTCATTGTCCTGTTTGAGATATTTCTTAACCAGAACAGGCCAGAAAGAGAGGGGTCCAGGTCACATTGCTACCTCCACTGGTTCCAGCTAAATTCTGAAAAGTAGCTGGGATGCGAGACATTGGTTCCTTCTTTCACTCACCACCTCGCCATGTGTCTTTTCCTTCATAGACTCAGACTTTTGTAAGGTCAGAAGGGACCATTATGATTATCTAGTCTGACCTCCTGCAAAATGCAGGCCACAATCTCACCCATTGATTTCTCCCCCAGATCCCTAAATGGTCCCCTCAAGTATTGAACTCAACCCTGGGTTCAGCAGGCCAATGCTCAAACCACTGAGCTACCCCCCCCCCCAAAGAGAGAATAAATGAGCCCAGAGTCAAGTGTTAAATGATTCTGTCACTGTACAGCACTACACAGTTAAACATGGTTTGGCGTTTTGGAATACAGAGACTTTGGGCTGCTTAGTCCCATGGCAAACACACCGTTAAAAATCTTTAACCTGTTATTAAAGAAACAGGAAAAGAAGGAAAAACAGTTAAAGCCTTTGAAATGTAAAGTCTTAACTAGGTCTTTTTGTTTGAACAATATCCCTGTTCCCTTTAACAGTAAAGAGTTTTTAGAAGGAAAAAACCCTGGTTTGATAGTGTCTATGGGTATTTCCACACTTACAATGTTACAGTGTCACAGCTCCATCACTGTAGCGCTTCAGTGTAAACACTACCTATGCCAATGGATGGGGTTCTCCTGTTATCATATCCACCTCACCGAGAGGCACCAGCTGTGTTGATGGAAGAATTCTTAGGTCAGCTTAACTGCATCACTCGGGTGTGGAATTTTCACATCCTTGACCAATGTAGTTAAACCGACCTAATTTTGTAGTATAGGCCAGGCCTTAGATAGTATTAAAATGGTAAGAATTATTCGTTGGGGGGGGGGGGGTAGTTAGCTGAGATGGGCTAGTGCTCTTATTGCTGCTGTTAAAATCCAATCCTGTTTCCTGAAAGACAAAACAAGACAAACACTCACCAAAGAGGAGAGAAAAGAACAGCAAAAGTAGAAAATGGAGCTTCTCTCTTTGGTACAGACTTTTACTTGCAATCTTCATGTTGGAGAAACACAGGTCGAGCCCACACTCTGATCAGCCCCTTTGAGACCTGGCAAATTTGTACCAGTTTCAGGCTGTTTGGAACATTGCTTTCAGCTGCCTCTCTGGTCATGAGCTCACAGCACAGTTGCAAAATAAGCAGCCAGAGCCTTGTTAGACAAAAGGAGAAAGAGATAGGGAAGAAATAAGGCATATTCCCAAACCATGTTTAACTGTTGTGACAAAGTTCCTCCTCTATTTTTGTGGGTCCTGCACTTATTGGCAGATTTGCTCACCTCAGCAATTCACCATGTGGGTCAGGGAACAGCCCAGAGACCTTCTCTGGTAGAACCCACAGTCCAGGTCAATTCCCTTTGTGTCTGATCAGGAGTTGGGAGGTTTGGGGGGAACCCAGGCCCCCCCTCCACCCCAGGGGCCAGTGGACTGCAGCTGTCTAGAGTGCCTCCTGGTACAGCTGCACAACAGCTACAACTCCCTGGGCTACTTCCTCATGGCCTCCTCCCAACACCTTCTTTAGTCTCACCACAGGATCTTCCTCCTGATGTCTGATAATGCTTGTACTCCTCATTCCTCCAGCAATACTCCTTCTTGCTCACAGCTCCTCACATGCACTACCTCTCCTCTGGCTCCCTTTAGCCTGACTGGAGTGAGCCCTTTTATAGCATCAGAGGGCCTTAACTAGAGTCAGGTGTTTAACAGCCTCCCCTGACTCTTACCAGGTTAATTGGAGTCAGGTGTTCTCATTAGCCTGCTCTGGTCAGTCAGGGAACAGAAAACTGCTTATCCAGGGGCCAGTATATCTGCCTTGGACTATTCTGCTGTTCCCAACTGCCCTGGGCCTATCACACTGTGTAGTGTTGTACAGTGACAGAATCATTTAACACTCTTGACTCTCTGAGATTATTTATTCCATCAAAATTAATGCAACACTAATTCTACCCCTGGCCCTAATGTGGCTCGGCAATATGAGGATGGAAAGTTAGCTCACCACAGTTACATTTGTACCAGCATTTCCTTTACAACGAGGATGAAAACGGACTACAGAAATTGTCTTGGGGGCCAGAGTATCAGTTTAAAAATGTTATTGTAGCTTGTGCACTGCTTGATTATTCTATAGGTGTTTGTGGTGGGGGAAGGACATAATTTAAGGTTTGCAACGATACTTTTTAAAAGGGCCACGTGACTCAAAGTTTTCTAGAGTTTGACATTTCCTTCCTTCCTTTTCCCACAGAACTACAACATTTGGACAGGTGAAACTGACAGGTCTGATCCCTGGGGTGGTGTAGATGGGATGAATTATTGTAGAAAGTTGACATTTGTTTATCATGAGTCACACAAGTTACTGTTTAGACTGACAGTATCCTGGCACCACTTTAGTCAACGTGGACCTTACACCAGTCCTTAGAATAGCGTCTTCTATTATGGGTGCCTTTCAATTGCTCAGCAACCCCTTTGATCACACTGACACTGAGTTGCAGCTACCTGTTTTTCTTTGATCACAGCCAGAGGAGCACAGGGCATCATTATACTACCCTAATGCTGGCGCTTACTGGAATCTTTCATTTTTCCTTTATTAAATTAATGCTGGTTTCCTTGGCAATACTTTAAAAGTAAAATCTGAGTCTACATGTGGATTTTAGAGCATTTTGAAGTAACTGCTCATAAGCCAGAAACTTTGGTCTCAAGGCCAAACTTCCCAGAGCAGAATACAGGCAGAGGGCAGCTACATGTGCGTCTCACACTTTCCAAGAAGGCTGCTGGGGGCAGGACTCACAATCACAGTACATGGGGGCTGCTCAGGGTCCATGTCACCTTGAGCTACCTGTGTACTGTGACATCAGGCTGTCTTCTGGCTGCAAGAGAGCTCCAGTCCTGCTGTACATACACAGGTGATTTTCTCTGGCTCATCAGCTTGGCTAGACCCAGATTGTACTTCTAAATCTCACCCTTCTTAACTTTTACAATATTTCTTTCCCTCAGAGGCCGTGGGTGCCGGACGCTAGCTGAGATCAGTCTCAGGTAGATCAGATCAATTTGGGAGAATCAGAGCTATAGTTCATGCTGTGTGCAAAAAACCAAACATTAACTGAGCCATAACATTGTGATGTCACAGAGTATGTTTTTTGCGGCGGGGGGGCATATCTTGGGAACTCCTTGCTCAAACACCATCAAATCTGGAATGTTACCTCCACCCCAGATCCCCGTGGGGCACAGTCATTTCCAAGACAATCCATTTATGCATGTGGATTTTAGAGCACTTAGAAAAACCGGCTGTTAAACAGTAAGCAAGACTCTATCTTAACTATAGCAGAGCTTAATATCTCTGCCTTAATATTTTGGGAAAACATTATATTGTGGTTATTGTAAGCTAGTGCTTTTTTAAGGAGCTGTTGCCTGGACCAGTGAATTTTTCACGTTCTTGGGTCCCTCTGAGTTCAGTCATTTCCGCAGCACAGTAAAACTAGAGAATAAATACCAGATGCCTCTGAAACGTGAGAGGGCAAATGAAACTTCTAAAAGCAGATGAAGTTTGTGTCTGTCTATCTAGGAACTCATGTGACCCTCTTCACCATACGGTAGTACCTGATCTCACCACACAGCAAAAGCCAGCTCACCTTCTCCACATCCCCCAGCCCTTCGGTGTCCAGCAGCACCAGGGTGTGATCAGGTTTTCCAGGGTGGGGCACACACCACATCCAGATGCCTTTGATGTGTGACTGGATTGTGGAGCCCAGCGAGAACCCTGGGAAGAGAGGACACATTTCATATAAACACAGACACACAGTACACCTGCCTGAGGTCACTAGGAGCCCCAGAGAGTAGCAGAAAATAACACAGGAGAGGGCACATGACTCCAGGTCTCTCACCTTTTCTCTTGCCAGCCAAGGAGTTCATGAGGTAGGATTTGCCCGTGTGGGACAGCCCCACATTGGCCACCACCACCACTGGCTGGGTGATGCCTTCCAGGATCTTCACAGCCTGGGGGTTCACCTGCAGGGCCCCCCTGGTGCTGTTCTGAATGAGGCACATGGGCTCCTCCATGAGCGTTTCTGAGGCCATTGGTGCTGGGCAGAATTGATCTGTAACTGAGAAAACAGACTGAGCCAGCCGAGCAGGTACACTGCAGGGATTAACCATGGGGGGATAAGGCACAGTAGGAGGCAGGTCTGATGTAACACCATCTCACCAGGCAAACAGCTCACTGAGTTCTCAGACAGGACAAATCCCTAGGGGAACAGAGTATTTCCCCAAACAACTAAAGGTTCAACAGCAAGGAAATGCAGAGAGAAGGCTCCATTTATAAACCAAACACACATTGGGAAGTGCAGAATAGCACTGTTCAGACCCCACTCCAAGTGTCAGTAGCAGTTGCAGAGTCATGCAAGTCCAGGGCTGCCAGAGGCACTAGACACCCATACGGGTGGTGCCACATCACCTGCCAGAACTGGGAGTGCACACTGCAGCTTACGAAAAGTCAGCTCAGGTCAATGACACACTATAGGCATAGCATTTGAGCTCTACAACTCTTGCCAGATTTCATAGATGACAGACCTTTACCATTTTTCATAGTAAATGAATATACAGTCTCCTTTCCTCTGTCTCTCAGCTTACCTCTTCCTAGGATTTTCCCTGGCCCCAGCTAACCATTTTGTGAATTTTCCTTCCCTTTCCCCAGTTTCTGTCTCCTGCCCCACTTGGGACGTTTCCCCACTCAGCCACGCCACATCAGGATTTGCCCCAGTCTGGGGATTCTTTGTCCCTCTCCTGGAAGAGGCAAGAGGGACCAGAGAAGGAGCCAGGCCCCAAACCCGGTGTTGGACAATAACACTGAGGATACGACAACACTTTCAGGTGTGGGTAAAATTCCTAGCTTGAAAAGACATGCCCACGTTAGCTCTAGCATGTTAGCTTGATCAAAAATAGCAGGGTAGCCAGGGCAGTGCAAGTGGCAGGAGGGGCTAACCACTTTGAGTACCATCCTCTACAAGGTCCTATGTATTTACTGAGGTCTGCCTCCTTAAATAAGGAGGAACTTCTGTCTGTGTCACTGTAGTATGTGAGGAGTTGGGATGGGTGGTCTGTTCCTCTAACAGGAGACTCTGTGTGCTTGTCCATGAGGAATATAGGCAGTGGGGCATCTGGGTCATTGCAAAGTAGCCCAGAATCCCTCAAATCATGCCCTCTTCCCCTCAGATGTGCCTATTAATTTTCTGCCCAGGTCTTCTACATTACAGCTTTAATTATCATAATACCTCTGTTTTCAGTAATTTCTCTAGTTTCTCATCTATTGGCTTGTTTTATGTAATGCTGTAAAGCATATAGGGTTACAGCTTGTATAAAAGTAAAATATTAAGTGTTATATAAAAATAGAAAAATAATTCTCTAGGGCCCCTTGAATGTGATAATAAACAAAAACAACCACTTTTGCTTTGCAGGTACTACTACAAATGTCTTCAAACATGTAATCCCCTAATTTTTTTTATTCATCTTATTTATTATATCTGATAGTCCAAGGTATGGGGCAGACAATGCCTCAAACTGGGGAAATGTTTCCGTATGACCAACCCTTGCCCATGCTAAAGTATGAGAACTAACAGAATGGCTAACTATAAAACGATTTCACCAGAAAAGATTTCAGCCAACTATCAGTATTCCCCTGTAATCCAGGACAGCTCTCTTATCCCCAGCTTCTGTTTTACTTGTTAAACTTTTAAACGTTTCTTTAAAACCTTTTATTTGATATGATTATACACTGTAGGTTTCTCAAAAGAACATGAAGAAGATGACAGTTTTAAATTTTAAAAGAGCCAGGAAATGAGGAGGGGAAAAGGGGGTGGGTTTGGGGCTGTTTCTTCAGATATCGGTGTCAGAGGTTACATTCGTAGTGCTGAACTTTGTGCAGTCAAAGCTCTGGCTTTTGTCTTTTATTTTTTTTAAATTGTAAAAAACTATAATTGTGGGCGTTATATACTTACCCTGGACTTTACAGTTTACAAGGAATAAGTCTTGAGAGCAGGGTTTTTTAGTGTTATTTTTGTTTGTTTTTGGTATTCTGGGCCCTCCACTTAGGTACAGTTTAAAAAGAGAACTAACAGTAATTTTTAAAGTGCTCCTTTTAACGTAGATAAAACTGTGACAGACAGTTAGAGTGTGTGGCTCTCAGCCCCCTGCTTGGTTTAGGAGCCTCAGTCATTAAGGTCAGAGGGTTAGGGGGACCCGGAGCCTCCCTCTCCACTGGGTCTCAGCCAAGGGCCATATGAATAAGGTAAACCCTGAATAAGGTGGGGCCCTCCCAGCAGGGAGTCAGAATCCACTTCCCTGGGCTACATCCTACCAGTCTTTTCAGTTTAGGGCATGGCCTCTTATTCCAATTTGCTGGGCAGCCTGCTTCCCATAGGGCCTTCTTATGGGTCTTGGGTGGTGCCTTGCCATGGTCCCAGGCTCCTTTGGGGCAGGACAGCCACACATTGGGGAGGGCGAGCCCCACAATATCCCTGGGGTTTGCTTATTCAGTTACAGCAGGTGCTGGTGGCTCCTAGGTCCCCTTTGCAGTCTCTCTTGGCTTTGGCCATCTGATTAGTGCCCCGTCCCCTCGGGTAGGAGTCAGCAGACTCCTGCCTCTTTGCCAGTCAGCCCTGCACTGAGCCAGGCTCCCTCCTTTTCTCCCCTGCCAGACCTGGCATTCGCTGCATGTATAATGGGGTGTGGACTAGCTGGGCCCAAAGTCTCTCTTTAACCCCTGCTGTGTTGGCTGGCAGTTTCTCTGCTTCATCACACATTTCTCCCCCACCCCCCACCATCTGCTCTCCTCCACCCTGTGACAAGAAGTCAGCATTCAGGTGGGCTCTTCCAGCCTGGTGCTGAATGCGGAAGGAAAAGGGCTGGAGGGAGAGGTACCATCTTGTAATCCTGATGTTAGTATCTTTCATGGCATGTAGCGGTGACTAATGTGAAGTGAGTGCCTAGTAGGCAGTAGCAGAGCGCGTTCATAGCCCACTTGACTGTAGTAGGCCTACTCTCTTGGGAATAGCTTCTGACTAATGTACAAGATGGGGTGTTCTTCACCTCCCACAACCTGGGACAAAACAGCTTCTAGACCCACGTCCGATGCATCGGTCTGTAGCAGGAGTTCCTTGTTGAAGTCGGGAACGTACAAAATGGATTCTTGGCAGATCTGGGCCTCCAGGGCTTTAAAAGCCTCCTCACAAGCTTTGGGCCACTGGATTTTCTTTGGGCTATCATTCTTCAGAAGCTCAGTGAGACGTGCCATGATGGTTGAGAAACCCAAAATAAATTGATGGTAGAGCCCCACCAGTCCTAAAAGCCAGCATACCTGTTTCCTTGAGGAAGGTGTGGGGAACATCCGGAGGGCCTGGAGCTTATTGACCAAGGGTCATGCTCTGCCTTTTCCTAAGGTGTACCAGAGATAGGTTGTCACCTGGGCAATGATGAAACATTTAGTAGGATTTGCTGTCAGTTCAGCCTCCTGGAGAGACCGTAGCACACCCATCATATGTTTTAGGTGGTCCTACCAGTTTCAACTGTGGACTATGATGTTGTCTAGGTACAAGGCAGCATATTGGCTATGGAGTTGGAGGATCTAGTCCATTAGCCACTGGAACGTGGCTGGGGTCCCATGCAACCCAAAGGACATTGTCTGGAACTGAAAGAGCCCAAAGGGAGTGGAAAAAGCTGTGTTTTCCCTGGACCATGGTGTGAGGGGGATCTGCCAATATCCCTTCATAACATTCAGAGTGGTGATGTACTTTGCTTCCCCTAGGTAGTTGAATAGTTCTTCAATGCAAGGCATTGAGTTCGCATCAAATTTTGAGACTCTGTTGACCTTCCAGAAATCAGTACAAAACCAGATAGTCCCATCAGGCTAGGGGACCAACGCTACAGGGCTTTTCCAGTTGCTGAATGATTCATCTATTACTCCCAGTTCTAGCATTGATCGGAGTTCTTACTTTGTAGTTTCCCTTGTCTTCTGGGGAAGGGGTTGAGGATTTTCTCTGACTTTAAGCCCCAGTTCTGCCTGGATGTTATGGATTGATAAATTGGACCATCTGGTTGAGTAGAAAATATGGAAGAGAAGGCATGGATCACCTGTTGAGCCTGGATTCTCTGGTCTGGGGTTAGGTTGTTTCCAATCTTGACCATCCCTGACTTTGAGACCTCAGCAACCTGAAGGCCTAATTCAGGTTCAGGTGGGTAGAGGGCTATTAGTAGACTTTCTTGGGTTTTCCACAATTTTAAAAGATTCATATGGTAGATTTGGTGTACCTCTTGCTTGTCCAGTTGTTGGATTTCATAATTCACCAGCCCCACTAGCCTTCATAGGACCCTTGCCAGTGGGCTAGGAGTTTTGATTTGGAGCTAGGTAATAACAGAAAAACCCCATCACCAGGTTGGGGCCCCCAGAGGTGAGCCCTTTTATTATAGGCTGCTTCCAGTGTTTTCTGGGTGTGTAGGAGGTTTTCCTGGCAAATGAGCCCAGGGCATCAAGCGTCTCCCATAGGTCCAGGACACATTGTGCTGCATTACTGGCCTGAGATGTTTCCTCCCACATTTCTTGAATGAGGTATAAAATCCCTTGAGGTTGCCTTTCATATAACAATTGAAATGGTGAGAAGTCATTGGAGGTCTGGGTGACTTCTAGCATTAGTCGGAACAGGAGAGGAGGGTGTAACTATTCCCAGGCAGGAGTGCCAGAACCTCCCTAAAAGTGTGTGAAGGGGCCTGTCAGAAGCCAGACTGTGACCCTGTCCCTGCTCAGCCTCTTTCAGAACCCATGCTGCCTCTTTCCCTGAGGTCACACCTGCTCCTGCCCCCACCCCCCACCCTGTCGCTTGCCCTTAAGGCAGGAAATTTTTCAAAGCATTGTCTTTAGTGTTCTGTTGAAATCTTTCCAACAAGCCAACTGTTTGCGGGAGGAGAACAGAAGTCCTGAGAGCCTTGATTTTCTGCAACTGGCACAGTTGCTTAACCCTCTGACATACAGTTCATTCCCTGATCTGTTAAGATTTCCAGTGGTACCCCGAGCTGAGCAACAATTTCACAA